GTTCTGTTAGTGCTGAGTGTGGTCTTTGTGTGCGTCATTTTCCTGGAGGCTGACTCTAATTTGTGCTATTTCACTGTGCCTTCATGGGACACATCAGCACTGCCTTTAAACGTTCAAATAGACTTGTCTCATAAGTTAAAACAAGTACTGTTTTATGCTGCATTAGCCTTATAGTAAAGCTATGAATGAAAACCAGTTCACTGTGTTAGTCTCAACTTCCACCTCCTTGCTTTTCTTCTTTTTGTCCCCTCCCACTTGTTTAAAGAATGAGCAAGTGAGTACCCTTACTGTCTCGAGCTCTTTGATGTTGGTGCTCGCGTGTTAGAAACATGATGGATGCAGCTTCCTAGTTGTGGTCTGCTTTAAGTTAGAGGAAGTAGCCACTGTTTCCATCTGTCGCTTTTATGGTGGCTTTCGAGGAGGTTGGCTACGGAAATGCGCTGCGCATGTGATGTTAGAGGCTGGCGGCTCTTAGGCCGGGCTGAGCTAGTGTGATCTTAATGATGTAAAGGACAACGTGTCAAGTGCAGTTAGGTGGTTCTAGGTCAGGATTTCCATCTTGACCCACTGCACCGTGTTCAGAAGAATGTGTTGGGAGTCAGGGCTTCTGTGAAGGATGGAAACAGAAAGCCAGCTGACCTGGAAATGTGAGCTAGGAGTGACCTGCTATGTGAGACAAATATTACAGAGAATGGCTCCAGTTTGATTGATGTAGGTCGGGAGATTTTTCTGCTTTAGAAAGCAGGGTTAGATGTCAACTAAATGATGTGGCACATACAAGTACTCTCAGCAGCCGAGAGGTGGAGGCAGGAGGACTGCACGTTAAGGGCCAGCCTGGGCTACACAGGTGAAGGCAGGAGGATTGCAGGTTAAGGGCCAGTCTGGGCTACATACTGAGTTCAGGGCCTGTCCGAACAACATAGCAAGAAGAAAAATGTAAACAGGAGCAAATAACTTAAGGGGTCTCCTTGGTCTCATTAGCACTCTTTAACATTACTCATTATGTGGAGTGTTTGGTATAACAGGGCCGACTGGTTCCTGCCTCTTCACCCACATGTTTATTTGACATGTGTTGGATGTCTCTGTGGCAGGCACTAAATGCTGTTCCTTCCGTGCCAGCCTCGAAATTGAAGCAGTAATTTGAAAGCTGGTCTTTAGTTACTAAAGTGTTACACAAGGTCTGCAATACACCTTCCTGGCATAGTGTGAAGAAACAGCCACGGAGGATTACTGTTGTAATGTGAAACAAAAATGGGAGTGTTTTCTAAGTTCCCTCTGGCGACCTGCTTCTTTTCCATTTGCTAGAGATCAGTGCCAATCTGTGCATGTGTGATTAGGGATGGCCCAATCTTTTGGGATTTTCTTGCTGACACCCACAGTAGCTAGCTGCCGAGTGTCAGTCCAGTGATTAAGCACTCCAGCTTTGAAGCCAGAATCTGTTTTTGTTTAGAGGCAGGGTCTCACCTAGCCCAAGCTGGCCTGGGACCTTGTTTATATGAAGTCTTGAACTTAAATTTGTCCTGCTCCCACCTCCCATGTGCTGGGGTTAAAGGTACAACCTCCGCATTTGCTTCTGAACCAGTCTCCCCCTTCTTCCCTCTCGGGCTTGTTGACAGTCATCTGAGGGGTGGACTTAGTGTACTTACACTCAGCCCTGCTTGTGGTTCCAGGCCAGAGCTTAGCTGCTGTTAGATTCCCAGCTCTGTGCCCTGCCCTACTCAGGGTTTAAAGAATAAGGGGGAGCCAGGTGTAGTGGTGCATGCCTTTAATCCCAGCCCCGAGAAGTGAGACAGGAGGAGCTCTGTGAGTTCAAGGCCAGCCTGGTCTACAGAGTGAGTTCCAGGACAGCCAGGACAATGTAGAGACATCCTATCTTGGTGGTAGTGTGGGGAAAACAAGGCCCCGTGACTCGTCACACCTGTGAACTGCAATTTGTGAATGAATCCTTCAGTCTGTGACCTGGGTGCCAGATTGTCCTCATCACTTCAGTTTTCCTTGGTTTTGGACTCAGGGTTTGGCTGGTAATTGACTCTAGGTTCTCCCCAACAGGGTATTGTAGCGATTGAGCAGAGGAGTCCCAGGTTTATACATCAGAGGTTGAGTGGAATTGTGCTGCTTCTCAGATAGGCTTCTCAGACATGCTGCTCTCTTTGCACTGGTGCAGAGCCATCTCCTGGGGCTCTTGGAAAATGCAGCTTTGGCTGGTGGCTTGGAGGGCCTATTTCCAACAGCCCAGGCAGTGTCCTTGCAGCTTGCCCTGTAGACAATCTCACTGGAAATTAGTGCACTGATAACCTTAGACGAGCTTGAGGAACTGAATTTCTCTGTGTATCTGCTGGGGCTGAGGAGGGGCCGTGTTCTGCAGAGCCGGATGAATTACAGTGCTGTGAGTAAATGCAAGGTGCGTTAAAAAAGTGAACAGATGATGGGCTGTTTGAGCCAACAGTCGCCCTGTTATATCCTGTCTCATATGGCCACATGATCTTACCTGATAACATCTCTTGAAATTGGGTTCATTTAAAAATAGATAGGATTTTACCATCACTATACTTGCCTTTGGGACCTGCCACTTCTGGCCACCTTCCCGCTCACTGGGGAACAAAGGCTGCTGAAATATAAGGCCTTGGTGGCTCCCTTCTTGGCTGTGTGGGGATACTGCTGTTGCTGCTGCTGCTGCTGTGTGTGTGTGTGCACACGTGTGCATGTGTGTCCATCCCTGTTGGTGTTACCAGGTGTACAATCTAGGACCTCACTGTAGGCAAGCCTTCTACTGCTGAGCTTGTGTGTTCTACTCTGCTCCCTCTCAGGGTAGCTCTGGGCCTTTTGCTGGTCTTTAACCCAGTTTGACAGTCTCCATTCTGTTTCCTGATCCAGAACTTGACCTCTTGGTTTTGTTACCACTGACTCTCAGCTTAGGAGACCCCTCGATACAAACTAGGCCTGGGTCGTCTTCTCCTCTTCTCTTCTCTTCTCTTCTCTTCTCTTCTCTTCTCTTCTCTTCT